CAATGGATTTGAACTCAGGGGTTCACACTTGCAAAGCAGGCGCTCTACCGCTTGAGCCACACCTCCAATCCATTTTGATCTGGTGATTTTGGAGATGGGGGGGGGGTCTCACAAATTTATTGTACCCTGGCCTGGTCTCGAACCTTGATCCTCCTGATCTGTCTCCCAAGTAGCCTGGATTACAGGCGTGAGCCACTGGTGCCTAGCTATAATGTCCCTTTTTCAGGGAAGGGGACAGAGACGGGTTTTTCCTCCCCTTTCATGTAGACTGGCATGCATGTGGTGGAATTTTTGGCCTGTGATGTGGTGAAATCTTGCTTAGTGGTGACATGTCCTACGGGGGTGACATCCCCAAGAAGTACTACGTGCGAGACCAGGTGAGGCAGCAGTACGAGCAGAGTGTGCAGGTTTCCCGGGGCTCCTCTCACCAGGTGGAGTACGAGATCCTGTTCCCCGGCTGCGTCCTCAGGTAGGAGCTGGGCCCTTCCCTGGGTGGCTGCAGTGAGGTGCACACACAGGTGGCACTGTGCGTATGAACACGTGCTCCTCTGCAGGTGGCAGTTCATGTCCGAGGGGGCAGACATTGGCTTTGGGATCTTCCTGAAGACCAAGATGGGGGAGCGGCAGAAGGCTGGGGAGATGACAGAGGTGCTGGCCAGCCAGCGCTACAACGCTCACCTGGTGCCCGAGGACGGGACCCTCACCTGCAGCAATCCTGGCACCTGTAGGTATCACGGTGTGGCGATGCATCAATTTCAGACCTGTCAGCTTTCTGTCTGCGAGGGCCCTCTCTTCCTCCATGACCTTGAACTAGAGTAGGAAGTGAGTTCTATTAGGTCACCCCTCCTGGCACAGATGAGGACACCGAGGCTGGGAGAGGTGAGAGGATTTGCTCAAGGTGGCCCAGCTGGTTAACAGCAGGGTAGGAAGAGATGCTGCAGGCACAGGTGAGTCACCGAGGCAGGTGAGCACAAAGGGTTCAGAACAACTGCTTTCGGGCCCAGGTCTAACTGGGTGTGTGACTGTGACCTGACATTTCTTGGGGTCACTCCAAAGACCAGAAAGGCAGAACTGGCCTGGTGGCTGTAGGGATCACAGGGGCACTGGCGAGCTGAAGAAGGCTCAGCCTGAGTGCTACTCATCTCCAGGCTGACAAGAGAACGGGGACAGAGTTTGAGCAGGCAGTTTAGACATGAAGAAGCCGCTTATGTCACCTGACTTTGCAGTATTGATTAAAACTCTTTGATTCAGCAGTTCTACTTTTGGAAACGCAGCCCACAGAAATATTTATAAACATATACACAGATGGGGGGGGGCAGGAAATTCACAGCAACCCAGAAAACCAACAATAAGCCAATGACCCAAGAAGGCCTTGTTAAATAAGTTACATGGAACACCGCATAGTCACTGAAGAGGACATACCGACAGGGACAGAGAAGATGTCTGATACCCATTAAACAAACAAACGCGAAACACAGCACGTGTGCGCTTTGGTAAAAAAGTCTGTCCTCAAGAAAGAATTGTAGGAGACCTTACCTCTGAGGTGGTTAAGTCCTGATGTAGGGCTTTCATTTTCTTTTAGTATTTCTGCAAATATATTTGGCAGTGACAAGATATTGCATTTATAAGCACAAAAAGCACACACACAAAGACACACAGCCCAGACAAATCTCTAGTTTCCTTTCTTTTGGGTGGGACTGGGACTTGAACTCAGGGCTTTGCACTTGCAAAGCAGGTGCTCTACTGCTTGAGCCACACCTCAGTCCATTTTGCTCTGGCATTTTGGAGATGGGGGTCTCAGGAACTATTTGCCTAGGCTGGCCTTGAACCACGATCCTCCCGATCTCAGCCTCCTAAGTAGCTGGGATTACAGGGTGAGCCACTGGCGCCTGGCTCTAGTTTCCCTCCTGACAGAGCCAAGGGGCTGGGAGAGCGCGGGGGCTGTGTGACTAGAACCTGAATTGGATTTCACTACTAAGTAGCTGTGTGTTCTTAGGCAGGTGACTCAACCTCCGAGTCAGTGTCCTGATTGCTGCAATGGGAAACCTCACAAGGCGGTCAGATTACATGTAATAAGCTCTGCCAGGCACTGTATTAATGAGCACAATGCCTTGTCATTATTAGGACAAGTGGGGGAGCAGGGCCATCCTGGAGCTAATGCTGCAAGATGGGGGAAGCAGCACCGTCAGGGGTCTGCACTAGCCCAGGAGATGTCTCAGCTTCTGTGCTTGTCCACACCATCGCCCGGTCTGAGATTCTGCCCCTCCCTTCCATCCTAGGCAACCCTCCATCTCCCCCGCCCCTCCTCACAGATGCTCTGTGGTGCGATATGGCTCTCTGGGGAGGGGGAGTGTTTGTTAGTGAGCAGCTGGGTCCCAGGGGAGAGGGGGTCTACTGTGTAATTCAGCAAGAACGAGGCTAAAAAATGTCATACACACAGTCTTGGATTTTCTTCTTCTTTTTATTTTTTTTTTTTTGGTGGGGCTGGGATTTGAACTTAGGACTTCACACTTGCAAAGTAGGTGCTCTACCACTTGAGCCACGCCTCCAGTGCATTTTGCTCTGGTTATTTTGATGATGTGGGGTCTCACAAACTGTTTGCCTGGGCTGGCCTTGAATTATGATCCTCCCAAGCCCAGCCTCCTAAGTAGCTGGCGCCTGGCTTCTTTCTTTTCTTTTAGTGGTACTGGGGATTGAACTCATGGCCTCACCACTTGAGCCATGCCCCCATCCTTTTGCTCTTAGTCTGGTTTTCAGATAGGGTCTCTGCCTTTTGCCCAGGCCAGCCTCTAACAGCAATCTTCCTGTCTCCACCTCCTGAGTAGCTCGGATTACAGGTGTGTACTACTATATCCAGCCTCGAGCCTGAATTTTCTTTAAAGGATGAGGAAGCTGAGGTATAGAAAAGGGATGTTCTCACTCCCATTTTGGCAGACACCAGACTCCTAGAGTGTTGGTCTAGGACCACTTGGCCAGACTGTCCTAGAGGTGATCAGGATATCCATTCTTGTTGTGACAAGGGTTATGGAAGAGCGCCCCAACCCATTTTCCAGCATGGTTCCTTACCCCTCTACCTCTAGTGTCTGAAGGACAACACAGCCCAAGAAGGGACTACGAACCTTTTAACTTAATTAGGCTTAGGTTTGCAAATCCCAAATTTATTTTAGCTCTTCTTGGGTACATTCCCAACAGAAACCTTTACCTGCCTGGGATCTGATGGCTGTCCATCCCCGGGGACAGCCAGGTCACGACATCCAGTCCCCCTTCCGAGGTGTAAAGGTAGTAAGGTAGGATCAGCTGTTGCCTGGGGCTGTGACTCATGTTAAACGTGAGCCTGGAGAACACGGTGTTGGGTTATCAGCTGAGCCTCAGGAGGCCGGTGTCCCTAGAGACCAGGTGACCCCCTGCAAGGTGGGTCACGATGACCCAGTGGAGAAATTCAACATCTGGGTGTGCCAGCCTCCAAAGGCAGGAGCATGCTAACCTTCCTTGGGGTTTTCTGGTCCTTGTCCAGGGGTACTAAGTTACTGAGGAGGGGACCAAAGTTTGAATTGATTTCCTTTTTACCTCCCACCTAATATTTACTGAGGATAGACTGCTCTACTGGGAATGAAAGACTCCCAGAAAACATCAGTTCTTTTTTTGGTGGAACTGGGATTTGAACTCAGGGCTTTGCACGTGCTGGACAGGTGCTCTACTACTTAAGCCACGCCTCCTTCCCTCCCCGTTCCCCCCCCTCCAAAAGATCAGCACCTGAAACACGGTTGGAAAGCAACACAGCATAGCTAGGTAGTACTGGGGTGAAAAGAACCAGCCAGACAGGCATAGAGCGGCCAGCTTTCTGAGAAAGTTCAGCTGTGCCACCAACTCTCTCAGTGTTTGCAAAAATGTCACTAAAGAATTAGATTTGGGCTCCTGCCTTGAACCCCAGCTACTCAGGAGGTAGAGGTCAGGAGGATCAGGATTCAAAGCCAGCCAGGCAAGTAGTTCTTGAGATCCTACTGCAAAAAACCCAACACAAAAAAGGGCTGGTGGAGCGACTCAAGTGGTAAAGCGCCTGCCTAGCCAGTGTGAGGCCCAGTACCATTACAAAAAAAAAAAATCAGATTTAGCTTTCCTTTTCCCTAAAAATAGGGGAGTGGAACAGAGCAGAGCTGCACCCTGGGGCCCATGGACTCCTCGGAGCAGTGGTTCTGAATCGTAAACACCAAACATTCCCCCTTTAAAAATTTATTTATTTTGGTGGCACTGGGCCTTGCTCTCAGCACCTTACGTGAGCTAGTACTTTTATAACAAATAGCGTCTAAAGTCTCCTTTATTGTCCTGAAATGCAAATTCATAGACAATATGACCCATCTACAGCCTGGCTTGGTGGCTCATGCTTGTAATTCAGGAGGTAGAGATCAGGAGGATGGCAGTTTGAGGACAGCCAAGGCGAAAAACTCATGAGACTCCATCTCAACTAACCAACGGCTGGGCATGGTGCCGTGCGTCCGTCATCCCAGCTATGGTGGGAAGCGTGAACAGGAGGATCTCATCCAGGTGGGCCCAGGCATAAAAGCAAGACCCTATCTGAAAAATAACTAAAGCAAAAAGGGCTGGGGGCATGGCTCAAGTGGTAGAGCGCCTGGCAAGAGCAAGGCCCTGAGTTCAAACCCAGATAGCGAAAAAATGGTGCATATATGAATTAAAATCAATGTAACTTGTGATATTAAAAAAAAAAGTTCATTTCAAATATGGATAATTTCTGAGGTGCTAGGATCCAGCGCAGGGCCTCACGCATGCGAGACAAGCTCTCTACCACGGGGTCACACCCTCAGCCCTAGAATATATTATTTTTCATTACATAAATGAGAACAAAGTTGTGTCTACTGCCTGTGTCTCTCTAGAACAGTGACTGTCCCTTTGAGAACCACTGCCTCAGGGGATCTCTTATGGCTCCAAGGGAATCTGAAATTGTCTGCCTTCACCAGATTCTCAGGGGCCAGTTGCCTGGAGGACCTCTGGGGGCTCCAAGAGCCTGTGACTGCATGACTGGTGTCAAAATGAATGCTGCAGACTATGGAGTTGCAGACTCCAATCCCTCTGCCCGTGCCTCTGATCAACCCCTCGCTTTTATTTTTTCTTTTTTGGGGGGGAGGGGTGCAGAGCCATGTCCATCCTGGTCCTTAGTACAAGGAGTTCAAAGAACCCCACTCCTCTAGTGAGATGGACCCTGGCTGCCGAGGCTTTGTCACCCAAAGCATAGAGGAAGCCTCTCTCTTTCCAGAGGGACAGTTGGTCCTGTAAGATCTCTGCTGCAGACAGAAACTAGATGTCTGATACTCACGTCACACCAGGAGGAAAGAGTGAGTGGCGTGTGTACTGTTGATCTGAACTATGCATTTTGTCCAGAGTCAGGAAAGGGGAAAGGTTAAGTCTTAGGATGAATACAGAGGGTTTTTTGTTTTTGTTTTCTTGCTGGGAAAAGTGACAGAAGTCCAGTATAGCATTTTGTGGTTGTGTTGTTTTGATGCTTAGTTCTCTTGTTAACCGAAATGGAACAACTTCTCCAAGAAACAGGGTTAGCAACTTGGTCTGTTCTGTTGCCAAGGCTAGAAGCTCTCTCTGCCAACTGCAGGCCCTGTTTCTCTTCCCAGAGGAAACCACTGCTAACAGGGCTTATCTTTTACCCCAGAAAACATTTTCCTCTCCTTTGGAAGCCTCACACATTTCCTTAACGAACAGGTCATGTACACATATGGATACACCCACAGGAATTATGTCTGTTATTTGGTATATGTTTGTAGGAAGTTAGAAGCTATAAAACTCATGACAGGATCTGGGAAGAGCTTTCCTTTTAGGATATGATCATATCTGCACAGGGTACCATCAAAGAGAATCTGTGAGTGTAGGTGGACAAGTAGCAAAGCCAAAAAAAATATATTTTTTTAACATACAGATTACAAAAATGTCACAGACTATTTACAAACTGTTTTGCAACTTTTTTAGCTTCAGGGGCTATCTATCAATCTATCTATTATCTTTTTATCTATAGAACAAAGTCATTCTATAGAGCAAAGTTCTGTTCATATCAGAGCAGTATTTGGCTGGAGGTGTGACTCAAGCCACAGCATCTGCCTAGCAAGCACAAAGCTCTGAGTTCAAACTCCAGTACTAGAAAAACAAAAACCAAAACAGTATTCCATCATAGAGAGTGACTGCTGAAGCAATTTTCAGTTACCTTTTTTTTTCCCCTCTTTTTATTTTATCATTTTTACAATCACTTACATGTGTATACATTTAGGCCATCTCGTCCCCTTCCCCATTTATCTTTCTGCAGGAAGAATTCGTGGTTCAACAAAGTTTGCACTTTTTGGGGGAGGGGGGTGACTGGGGTTTGAACTTAGGGCCTCATGCTTACAAAGCAGGAGCTCTACTGCTTGAATCACCTCCAGTACATTTTGCTTTTTTTTTTTTTTTTTTGCAGTACTAGGGCTTGAACTCAGGGCCTACACCTTGAGCCACTCCACCAGCCCTTTTTTGTGATGGGTTTTTTCGAGATAGGGTCTTGCACACTATATGTCTGGGCTGGCTTCGAACTGCGATCCTCCTGAACTCTGCCTCCTGAGTGGCTAGGATTACAGGTGTGAGCCACCAGTGCCCAGCTAAAGATTTTTTGTTGTTGGTGGTGGGGAGATTTGAACTCAGGGCCTCATGCTTGCTAGGTAGGCGCTCTACCATTGAGCCACTTTGCCAGCCCCTTGCTCTGGTTATTTTGGAGATGGGGGCCTCATGAATGAACTATTTGCCTAGGCTGCCCTCAAACCATGATCCTCCTGATCTCTGCCTCCCAAGTAGCTAGGGTTACAGGCATGAGCCACCAGTGCCCAGCTAAGTTCAGAAACTGAACAGGGCTGGTCTTCCAGAGGCCAAAGTCAGCCAGAACAGAAGCGAGAATGTGGACCAGGGGGAAATTCTAGCTCCCATCATTTGTTCTCTGTGTGACATACCTGCTTTTTATCTGACATAAAACAGGACCAATGCTGAACTCAAGAGCCATAAGGAAGAGTGAGATCACGTGTAAATTACCAAGCCATTGCTGTGACAGTCATTATTACTGTGACAGTCATTATTACTGTGACAGTCATTATTACTGTGACAGTCATTATTACTGTGACTGTTATTAGTGAAACTGCTGCTTCTAATTCTACCATCCCCCCTTCAAGCCTCGTTCATTCTCTATCTGGAGTAAAAAGCCATGATTTCAGTCTTTGGGTCCTCTTCTTCTGAGCTGTTACAGATGTGACTGCCCCTTCATGTGGTACTTGGTACATTCTATCTCGTGCTTTTCACTCTTGAACGTCTTGTCAACTCAGCTAGGCTCAGTTTCAGGTCAAAGACTATTGCTTACGCTGCCTCCTTCCCCGGCACCTACCATGCTGCCTTGCTCAGTCAGTAAAAATGAACCGTCATCAAGCTGGGTGCTGTTAGCTCACGCCAGTAATCCTAGCTACTCAGGAAGCAAAGATCAGGAGGATCGTGGTTCGAAGTCAACCCAGGGCAAATAATTCACGAAATCCCATCTTGAAAAAAACCCATCACAAAAAAAGAGCTGATGCAGTGACTAAAGGTGTAGGCTCTGAGTTCAAATCCCAGTACCGCCAAAAAAAGTTAACTATAATTACTTGAATGTTTGGTTTTCTGCCTCCCCTCAGATGTCCTGCGGTTTGACAATACTTACAGCTTCATTCATGCCAAGAAGGTCAATTTCACCGTGGAGGTCCTGCTTCCAGACAAAGCCTCAGAAGAGAAGATGAATCAGCTAGGGGCAGTCACCCCAAAATAACGCCTCGTTCTACGGCAGGCCTGGCTTCCTCACTCAGCCGAGTCTCCCTGTTGGGTTTTCTTGTAGCAGTCATTTTCCCCCACAATCCCGGAGCCCCAAAAGACTGGGCTGGAGGGATGACTTCAGGCTGGATCTGGGAGCTTTCATTCCAAAATTAGGCAGAGGGTGAGAAGCTGAAGGGGGTCTCCTTGCCTTTCGAATTACTAAGGAGTCCCTAGAAGCTGGCCATCATGATAGGATCTACCTGTCCTGTAAGCCTGGCTCAGGGGACCTGTCCAGGGATGGCTGAGACAGGGAAGAGGGATGCCACACGGGGACAGACTAGGACCTCACATTTTAGGGAAGCCAGCTGTAGGGAAGGAACTTGCTCTCAAATGACCACGGAAGGTTAGCGCTTACGATGACGGGTAGCAAGGTAGCTGGTTGCTAGAGTTAGGGTGGCAATCAACGATTTCTTTCAAACTTTTTAATCCCTAAGGCCGGGTTATCTCTAAGGCTTTTCTGCAGTGTCAGGAGAGGCCCAAAATCAGCTCAGAGCATCCCACTCGAAGGCAGACAGGTCTCTGTCTCCCTTTGAGAGCTTAGCAACTTCTGGGCTCCACTGGCTGCCTCTTTAATTACTAATGATTGCCAGTGGCTCGGAGCTGCCTGGGGACTTTGGTGACCCAGCCACTGTTCTCCAATGCAAAAAAAAAAAAAAAAGCACCAAGGTAATTTTACCTCCAGGGATCACGTGGGAGGGCCAAGGAGGCAGGGGGTGAGTCCTAAAGGGGGGGGGTCTCCCATCCCCTTTCAGTGCCACCAGCCTATCTCTAAGTCCCCCTCGATTTAAGCACCCCAGACAAAAGGGACAAGGGGCATCAAGTTAGTAGCACTCTGGGCATTTCTGTCTGAGTGTCCCACAGACCTGATGAGAGGTGCAGTGGGTTCCTCGTGCCTGTGGACGGGGGTGGCCAGGCGTGGAGGTGGCCCGGGCAGGTGACCAACGCCAGGTCCCGGGGTGCCCCGAACCCGGGGAGGCCGCCCCAGGCCCTGCAGGAAGGACCTCCTTTTCCTCGGAAGCCAGGCCCCGGCACGGACCAGAGGGTGGGTCAGATCGCTCAGGGCATCCTGGCCTTGGCTCACAACGTTGTTAAGAAAATTAACCAATGAATAAAGCAACGTTTGATGCACTAAGAGTGAAATTCAATGCCCGCCGCCGGACTCTCCTTGCAGCCCTTAGCTCAGACCCTCTACCAGGTTCCCGCCAATCCAACGCATGCGCAGAAACTCTGCTGCGTTATGGGCGTGAACTTTCCCCGAGAGGCCACGCTACTAAGTCGCCTCCTGATTGGTCCAGTTAATGAGGGTTCATCCGCCATCTTTGCTCAGGGCATTCAAGAGGCTCCAGATTGCCTTCACGGTGAGGGCGGAAGTCCCGCCCCGTTCGGCTGTTCAATACATGCCGGGAGATTCGTGCGTGCAGACACGCGAGGGTCCAGATGAAGGCACGCTGCGCCTGCGGTGGGCCCTTAGGGGGAGGGAGGCGGAGGAACGGCGGTCACGTGGTGTTAGGGACCGTCTCCTAATTCCGCGGCCGCGCTGCCGGCGTTTCAGGGGTGGAGAACAGTTGTGCCTTCCTCCCTGTACCGAGCCCAGTCCGCCCCAGATAACCGACTGCGCCACGCGGCCCTACCAGAATTTAGGCGCTTGGGGCTGAAAACGGTGGTCTCCATAAGGAGTCTTTAGGTGATGATGAGAAAAGTTCATTTTTATTGAATGTCCAACTGGGTACCATGCAAAAACCCTGTGTCTACCGCCTGGGGTTGATGACTTAAGGGACTAAGTGTCAACCACAAGTCAGCGCTGGTCTCTCTCTCTCTCTCTCTCTCTCTCTCTCTCTCTCTCTCTCTCTCTCTCTCTGTCTGTCTCTCTTTTTCTCTCTCTCCTCTCTCTCTCTCTCTCTCTCTCTCTCTCTGTCTGTCTCTCTCTCTCTCTCTTTCTCTCTCTCCTCTCTCTCTCTCTATCTCCCCGGACGTGGGAACTGGGACTGGAGGAGGCTAATATCTCATAGGTGACACAACTGGGATTTGAACCCAGGACCGCCTGTCCTCAGTGACTGCACCTTTGCCTCTCCGATTCCCTCAAAGATTTGGGGGCATTAGTGAAGTTCATCTTTGCTCACATGGGTCACTGAGGTCCAGCAGGAGAAGGGTCCCCTGTAATCACTGAGCCCCAAGACCCCTCCTTCTGCGTCTGCTCCTTTCCTTGCAGTCTTGTTTGCCTCATTCGTTCATCGTTCATTCATCCATCCATTCATTCAGTTATCCATTCATTAATTCATCTATCCATTCATTCATTTATTCATCCATCGATCCATCTATTCATCCATCGATCCATCCATCCATCCATCCATCGTTCATCTATCCACCCATTCATCTATTCATTCATTCATTCATCATTCATCCATTCAACATCCTCCCTAGAAGAGGATAATTCTGGGAGCTCAGTGATCCAGTTAGATAGAGAAACATGGCGCCTGCTGAGCGAGGACTCCCAGGGTCCAGGACACCCACCATTCTCTCCCCCAGCCTCATTTCCTGAGCTTGCCTAAATAGCACTGAAGCCATGCTTGTGTAGGTTCAAATCTCAGCTGCACCACTTAGCAGCTGTGTGACCCTGGGAAGTGACCCACCTTCTCTGTGCCTCTGCTTCCTCCTTCCTAAAACAGGATCCCAAACTGGTGGGAGGGAGGGTTTCAGGAAGAAAGCCATTGTAAGCCTAAACTCAGTCAATGATGACTGTTAGAATTAATCCTGGCAACCATGGTGGTGGTGATGGGGAGGTGAATGCAAGTGTGACCCCTATGGACTTAGCCCAAGGTCACTCAGCTATCGGTCACCTCCTGATTGCAATCCAGGTTCCTTTGGCTCAAAAAAAAAAAAAACCCACAGTCGGTGCTGGGTGAGGTTTGCGCAGTCTCTTAGGGAACCCGCCCAATGCCCCTGCAGAAGTGGCGGGAGAGAGGGGCTGGGCGTGCGGTGCACTTTGCAGACGCTCCCTGCGGTGCAGTCTGTCCGACCTGTCTGTCCTTCAGCCACGGATCCGAGTGGCGCGGGGACAGTGGAGGTGACAGCGGAAGCACTGCCAGCTGTGCTCGTGGCACGAGCCATCATGTCAGAGCCGCAGCCGCCTGGCACCGATCGCGACCTCTACCGGGACACGTGGGTTCGATACCTGGGTGAGTTTTGGGGGTGATCGGCGTGGTGACCCCACTACTAGCACATGGTGGAGGAAGCTGAGGTCACCACATGGCGGGTCTGAGGCTTGGAAGAAATGGGGAAGGGGGTCTTCATTCTCATTTTACCTGGGCCTGAGTTTGGGTTCAGAGAAGCCTAGGGACTTGCCCAAGGTCACACAGCACTGGTGGCTTCAGCTCTGTTCTCTGGGGTCCCTGCTGGAAGCTGGATTGGGGAGGAGTAGGGGGAACCTCTGGCCTGTCCCAAATGCTAGCTGTGGTCAGATGGATCTGGACTCAGTCCTGCCACTCGCTGGCTATGTGTGAGTTAGTCTCAGTTTACCCTTTCTGCAAGCAGGGCTGAACATGAGGGTCTCTCTCTTTGGGAGGTGGTTGTAAGGGTAGAATGAGATAAGGTCCAGAAAGACCTGGCACCTGGTAAGTGTCCCCATCAGTGGGGCTGTCCTTGGTCAGTCATTCTCTCTGGCTGCCTTCTTGGTGAAGACTGCCAGGCCACTGGCATGGTTAGATTGGCTCAAACCAAGGAACCATAATGGTGACTCAATGCCCAGCCTTCCCTCAGTGGCCCTGGAGTCAAGGCCAGCACCAGTTTACAGCTCAGAAACCGAAAGGTAAAGTTACTTGCCTAAGTCAGTCACCCAGCTGCCCAGGATTACAGCCACCCTTCCCTGGCACTCCCTTGTGGCTGCAGAATTAAATGTCCCCTTCCTCCAGGCTATGCCAACGAGGTGGGGGAAGCGCTCCGATCTTTGGTGCCCACAGCCGTGGTGTGGCTGAGCTATGGTGTGTCCAGCTCCTATGTAGTGGCTGACGCCATTGACAAAGGGAAGAAAGCCGGGGCCGTGGGAGAGGTGGGTGTTCCAACCCCACCCCTGCCTGTTCACCTTCCCCTGCTCCCCCTCCCCGCCATTATGGCCTGCAGCCTTGCAGATGGTGAAATCCCCATGGGACAGCCCATGCCCCACCTGGCTTGGAGCAGTCCATCCTCCAGTCCTGTTTGTGCGATGGTGCCCCCACCCCTCACTGTACCCCCATATCTGGAGGGTGGCATTCTATACCTGGCTCTTGGATGCGACCAGCCTACCCCTAACCCCGATCGGGGTAAAGTCCAGAACTCAGCCTTAGTGCCAGCTCCCTCCAGTGGCCACTTCTCCCTCCATCGTGGTCCAGACTTCTGTCCCTTGGCTCCTGGATTTCCTGCCTCTGCCCCAGCTTCATTAAGTATCTCTGTGCCCACCAGGTGTCAAGCCCTGAAGCAGGGCACAGCACCAGGGTGACACTGGCTGTGGTAGACACCTTTGTGTGGCAAGCATTGGCTTCTGTGGCCATCCCAGGTTTCACTATCAACCGTGTGTGTGCCGCCTCTCTCTATGTCCTGGGCGCTGTCACCCGCTGGCCCCTGTCTGTCCGCAAGTGGACCACGACCACAATCGGGCTGCTGACCATTCCTGTCATCATCCACCCCATCGACAGGTGAGGCGCCTCCTATGCTTACAGGTAGAGGTAAGCTCTGAGAGCTGTGTGTCAATAGTGACAGAGGCAGGGCTGGCACCTGGGGCTCCTGAAGGAGAAAGGACAGTCTGTGCCCTTGTCACGTGGTCTGGCAGGAACTTTGGTGGTAAAGGAAAAGGGGTGCTTTAAGGGAATGAAGCTGAGGATGAGTAAATTCCCAGAAAGAAAGTCCAGTGTCACAAGACAGCCAGAGGCAGGCAGGAGCACATGTGTCCTGGAGTGGTGGGGGTGGGTGGTGGGGATTGGTGACAGAAGCCAAAGTCAAACCAAGTATGTTAAATGGACTGGGGTGTGGGTCAGTGGTAGACTGCTAGCCTAACATGACAAGGGCCTGGGTTCAGTCTCCAGCACTGCAAAATGAACAAACAAACAAAATAATAACAACAAAAACCCCTAAGTGTGTTAAGTAAAAAAGGAATAAAACTCTAGGGCTGGGTTGCTTTCAGGCATGGCTGAATCCAGGCACCCAAATGATGTCATTAGCAATCTGGGTCTCCCCATCCTTTGTCCCTTCTCTTCCTTCCACCTCACTACTTGTTGCCTTTGCTCATTTTTCCTTTGTGGAAACAGATTTCTTTTCTTTTCTTTTTTTTTTTTTTGGCATTACTGGGGTTTGAACTCAGGGCCTCATGCTTGCTAGGCTTGCTAGGCAGGTGCTCTACCATTTGAGCCACTCCACCAGCAGTTTGTGAAAACAGAGATGGCTCCGAGCAGCTCCCAGCTTCCATCCTACCAGTTTAACAAGCCCCATTTTAATAGTGATAACAAAAATCCCAAGGAAGGCTGTCATTGGTCCATCCAGTTTCCCTGAGCTAGTTTCCCTTTTCTGATTGGCCAAGCTTGGGTCACGTGCCTGCTTTTAAAGCTAGAGATGAGTTCACCCAACTAGACCAACATGACAAGGGAGGAACTGACTCTGAGGCCTGGAGTAAGTCCTTGCTTGACCCTCTCTGTGTCTCAGTTTCCCCACCTAGATAAAGAAAAGGAAGACAGCCATTACTCTGGGAGTTTGAGTTTCACTTTCCCAAGTAGGACAAGTGGGGAAAGCATGATAAGGAGGGTCTCCCTCTGGATGCTATTTGCATCCTGTATCGGGGACTCCTTTCCCTAGCCCTGGTCTCCTGCCTCCTGTCCTGTCATCCCTGACCACCTGTTCACCTCCCTCACTGACCCTGCAGGTCGGTTGACTTCCTCATGGACTCCAGCCTGCGAAAACTCTACCCATCAGCAGGGAAGCCAAGCTCCTCCTGATACTGCCCTGGTGCCTGGCTGCGGGTTTGCCCACTCCCACCAGGAATGTGGATACCTGGCTCCCTGGGGTCCATGGCCCTGGCACCTGAGTGGGTTCAAACTGGACAGAAGCTTCGAGACAAAGACCTCAAGTAGCAGTGGCTGCAGTGAGTCCCAGAGGCAGGACCTGAAACCCATCTGCTTCCATGGGAGCTGTTGTACTGAGTGGGAGTGGACTCTGGGTGGGCCTCCCATGGAGGACTCAGGCCCAGGAAGGGCAAAGAAGTTGCTAAGATCACTTGGCAGGCTGGGTACCAGCTGCCCAGCTGCTCAGCAGTCGTTCACGCCATGGTGATGGATGACAGCACATACTCAGGGAGAAACACAGGAGCACAGCGTCCAGGACCCACAGACCAGCCCATGTCTGCTGTGGGGGCTGCCAGGGCCTAGCTAGGTGCTGGCCCAATAAATCCTGAAGAAGCTGTGCTGTCTGCTTTGTTGGGGAGGAACGGGGATATGGTGGGGAGAGCAGGGCTCTTCCTTTGAGGGAAGTCTGGGTTGTGATCAGAGGAGGGCTTCAGGAGAAGAAGGGGAGGATGGGGAAGCAAGGAGGTGTCCCCAGGAGGAACCAGTGTATGAGTGAGCCCAGTCAAGAGGAATGGCAGATGCAAGGACACAATGGTGGTGACAGTTTGAATGTGTAACATTCCACAGGCTCATGTGCTAGGGGCCTCTGGTCCCCAGCAGGTGGCGCTAATTTTCACAAAAATCTTCCCAAGCAAAAAGCATCCATGGACTGAATCCTCTGAAACCATGAGCCAAGGTTGGTAATTCTTCTCTTTAGGTTGTTTTTTCAGTCATTTGGGCCACAGCACTGCAAAATAACTAACACAGGTGACAAAGGTGTTATGTGGGGGGGGGGAGTGTCATTCAGATCACCAAGTCTTGAGAGCTGTGACAAGAAGTCTATTCTGTGCTTGACAATTTAAGAAGTGGTTGGCCAGATTTTTAAAAAAAGCTTGGAGAGATGTGTCCTATTCTGTTTTCTGTTGCCATCACAAAATATCTGAGACTGGGTAATTTATTAAGCATAGAGGTTAAATAACCGGGCGCTTGTGGCTCACACCTGTCACCCTAGCTACTTGGGAGGCTGAGTTCAGGAGGATCATGGTTGAGGCCAACCTAGGTACCTAGTTCATCAGACCCGTCTCTAAAATCACCAGAGCAACATGGGCTGGAGGTGCGATTCAAGTGGTAGAGCGCCTGCTTTGCAAGCGGGAAGCCCTGAGTTCAAATCCCAGTGCCACCTAAACCAAACCAAAACAAGAGGTTAGAGAGAGGTGGGGCAACATGGCAGATCAGACGATTAGAATAGAAGCTTCCTCTGTATGACTATGAATGAGAAGGGTCAGTGGCCAAGGACAGACTGTATTCCAAAGAGAGGAAGAGGAGCTTGGGAAATTACAAAAGAGGGGAGAGGACAGCTGAAAAGCAGGAGACAGTCCATGGCTCCAACACCTGTTCTCCAGAGAGAGGGGAAGCCTGGAAAACCTGGTGACCAAAACTGAACCAAAAAGATACAAATAAACAGATCAATAATGAGCAATGAAATGAAGACAGTAATAAAAAAATATCCCCACAAAGAAAAGCCCAGGACTGGATGGATGCAAGGAAGCAAGTGGGAACAGCTGTACTCATATCCGACAAAGCAGACTTCAAACCAAGGTCAGTCAGAAGACAGACAAGGTCACCTCACGTTGAGGAAGGGAGCAATTCAAGCAACGTAACAATTATAAACATATATGCACCAAATGTCGGTGCACGGTGTTTAAAATCAAACTCTACTGGACATGAAAACACAGACCCCCAACGCAGAAATAGTGGGTGATGTCGATATTCCACTCTATCAGCAGATAAGTCATTCAGACAAAAAAAGAAAAAAATCAACAAATAAACCAGAATTAAATGACACCGAAAATCAAGCGGACAGAATATTCTACCCAATAGTTGCAGAATACATTCTTAGCTGCCTGTAGAGCTGTCTCCAAAATACATCATATTTTAGGACATAAAGGCATTCTTGGTTGTTTTTCTGGTGGTGTTGGGTTTGAATTCAGGATCTGGGGCTTTGGATGCAGGTACTCTACCACTTGAGACACACCTCCAGCCCTACAAAAAGCAATTCTTAAATGCACGAAAATTGAAATAACCTCTTGTGTTCATCCAGTGTGATAAAAGAAATGAGAGAAGCAGTAGCAAATACACAAACACATGGAGACTGAGTAATGCACTTTTAAATGATCAGCAAGTCACCAAAGAAATAAGGGGAGATTTTCTTTTTAAAAAAATCCCTTGAAAATGAAAATACAAAGTACCAGAACCTATGGGTTTCAGTGGAAGAGGTTCTAAGAAGTAAATGCCTGTATTAGAAAGCCAGGGAGATCTCAAATAAATTACCTGGGATGCAGGTCAAGATCTTAGAGAAACAAGGACAAGCCAACTGCAAAATTGGTAGAAGGAAAGACATAGAAAAGGCCAGAGTGGAAATTAATGAAATGGACACTGGAAGGACAATACAGAGCATCGATGACAGGAAGAGCTGGCTCTTCCAAAAGATAAGTCAGATTGACAGGCCCTTAGCCAAACCAACCAACTTAATAAACCCAAATTAATAAAATTAGAGATGAAAAGGGATATTACAACAGACACTACTGAAATCCAGAGGGTCATTAGGGAATATTTTGAAAATTTATACTCCGAGAAATTGGTAAATCTGGAAGACCTGGATAAATTTCTAGACACATATGACTTACCAAAATTGATCCAAGAAGATACAAATAATCAATAATGAGCAATAAGAGTAAAACAGTAATTTAAAAATATCCCTACAAAGAAAAGCCCAGAACTGGATGATTTCACTGCTGAATTCTACCAGACCTTAAAAAAAAAACAAAAAAACCCAAACTAGCACCAATCTTCTCAAACGATTCCTCAAAATACAAGGGGAAGCAATACTTCCAAACTCGTTCTATAAAACCAGAGTCACCTTGGCCCCAAAACAAGGTAAGAACACAAGAAAAAGAGGAAAACTGTAGGTCAATTTCCTTAACGAACACCGATGCAAAAACCTTCGATAAAATATTTGCAAACCGAATTCCTCAAGAAGTTGCAAAGATCGTACATCGCCGTCAGCTTGGCTCCAGGAATGCAAGGATGGCTCACCACACGCAGATCACTAAATGTGACTCAGCACATGAACAGAAGCGAGGCCGAGAATCACCGAAGAAGCCTTTGACAAAATCCACCTCCATTTTTACAGTCCTGAGAGAGCCTAGGAACGCAAGGTCCCGTTTCTCCTCAGAGTAATAGCCAGCACCAATAGGGAGAGCTGAACGCACTTCCTCTAAAATTGGGAGTGAGACAAAGGTGTCGTCTTCACTCTTACTCAGTGGATCACTCGAGTTCTTAGCCAGAGCAATAAGGCAAGAAAAAGAAATTTAAAAATGGGAGAAGTCAAACTATCCCTGCTTGCCGATGACACGATCCTACACTTAAGAAACCCTAAAGCCCCCACCGGAAGACTCTCAGATCTGACATCCGCGTAGCAGGAAACGAAGTGAACCCAGCAGCTTTTCTATACACCAGTAACAAGCTTACTGAAAAAGGGGACAGGAAAGCAATCCTGCACAACAGCCTCTTAGGTCTAACTAGACCAAAGATCCTGAAGACGCTATGGTGAATACTATAAAGCTCCGAAGAAAGAAAGGGTAGAAGACACCAGAAGAAGGAAAGACCTCCCCTGTTCACGGATTGGCAGAATAAGCATTGTTAAAATGGCTGTGCGACCAAAAGCAACCTGCAAATTCAGCGCGATCCCTATCAAACTTCCAATGACGTTCTGCCCAGAAATCCTAAAAAGTCGATCCTAAATTTCATGTGGAAACACAGAAGAGCTGGAGGAAGCTATCCCCTTCCCGACAGCCCAGCTCTTGCCTCTGCCTGGAACCCCCCGGGAGTAGGATTGAGGGATTTAGTAAATAAAGTAACAGGGTGGCCCACACCTGTAGTCCCAGCTACCTGGGAGGTGGAGATCGGGAAGATCGAGGCCAGCCCGGGCAAAAAGTTAGTGACATTGCATCTCCGTCAATAATCTGCAAACCCAGCAAGAAATAGGAGGGTCCCAGGCCTGCCCTGGGCAAAAAGAAAAAAACCCAAAACACAGGACAAAACTATAAGATTGTGTCCTAAAACAACAGCAAACAAGGGCTGGGCGTGGTAGAGCACCTGCCTAGCAAGCCTGAGGTGCTGAGTTCAAACCCCAGTACTGCCAAAAAAAAAACATTCAAGGGACACATGAAATCCGAATCTCAGATAAATGACAAGTAGCATTTTAGCAGAGGTTTGGCCCTGACGTCGAGTGGGACATATGTAGGTGAAGCGGCATCCGTGCAGCGGGGCCCCCTCAGCCGGGGTGGGAGGCCACAAGCTACCTCCCCCATTGATCCCTTCCGATGGTGCAGAGAGGGAGGTGACACACGCGGGGTGTGACCGCTGGAAGGACGGGGCAGACCCTTGCTTGGATTTGGGGGGTGGGGGAGATATCTTTTCCTCTCCAGGCGTGTTGTCCTGGGTCCCCTGTGTGGCTCAGAGTCACCACAGTGGGGGGGTGGGTGACAAGTGGCCCCAGGTCCTGTCCCAACCACTTCACGTGTTGTGGGTCTCCGTGTATTTAGTTTTGACTTTTAATTTAATGAATTAATTATTCTTGGCGGTACCGGGGTTTGAACTCAGGGCCTCGCGCTTGCTTAGGCAGGTGAGCCACCTCTGCTTCCAGGTCGTCCAGCTCATGACACAATCAGGGGCAGAGCTGGCTCATAGGCTGTGTGACCTTGGTGAAGTGTCCTAACCTCGCTGAGCCTCGGTTTCTTAGCTGTACAATTCTCCTCGGTGACCTGAAGGCATTTGCAGGATCACAGCCAGGGAGGGTGCGAGAGCACCACAAGACGCCCACTTTCGGGGCAAAGGATCAAGTTCCATCCGACGACTAAGACAGATTATATGGTTGAGGCTGCCACTCCTAAGTGTGGTGGTACCTGCCTGTAATCCCGGC